TAGGGTATCATTTTCATAATAGACAATTTGTTCTAAGATTCACAACTAATGAATTAAACAATATCCAACAAAATATCCAAGCGATTTTAAATTCAAAAGATGAATAGCTCGTTTCAAAACAATACTAGTAATGTAACATTATGAGGATTTAAGTAGGTAGGTATCTAATATTTTATCTAATAGTTTATTATATATTTGTATTATTATATGTTATCGCTTTTATGCCTTAATTAACTTACCTAGTGTTTGGTCAGAACCCCGTTTGGTCGTATAAATATATATTTAATATACATATAGATACATACGTATACCTACCATGGTATATTCTAATATTTTTTGCGCCCACAGATTGTAATCTGATGACGAGTACAATACTACGTTTCGAGTATGACGATAACGATTTGAATATAATATTAATTTTTGATTTAACATAAATAATAATAATTACAATAGATTCAATCTATAGGTATTAAATTTCATGGAATTTATCAGCGTTTAAATTGATCACACGGCACACACTTTTTTCACAGGCCCCTGGCAGCCGATTCAAGATATAAAAAAGCGTCGTATGCTCACATTATTACATTATTATAAATAAAAATGTACTCTTAATACTATCTACAGGCCAATGACTGCTAAGCCAGAAATATTTGCGAATAACTAAAAAAAAATTACAAACTTGGTAAAATTAGTAACTTAGGTTGAACCAAAGTCCAAAACAATACAAAATAAATAAATCTTCGACATCGTACATTATGACGCATAAAGTAGTTGGCTATTATATAGTCTTAGAGTTTTTGAAAACAAATTGTTTTTTTTTTTTTTAAACTTATTGACGGTCTTGACTTGGTCAGGGTTATCGTTTGTGAAATCTTCTTATATAAAAGAGTTGTTCTTTCTGGTTGTATACTATAGAAGCTAGTTTCAAAAATTCAATAACATTTAAACTATGTCAGTAAGACTGATTTTAATTTAAGTTTTTCTATCAAAACTTTAAATTATTAATAATAAAATATTTAAATAGCGTAGAAATTGAAAAAAAATTGAAAAGTGATTTTTTCACATATTTTGGATATTATTTAAACATTTTTTTTTTGCACCGTTTAAAAATCTTAATAGAGCTATGCGATTCATTTAGCAAATATCTATTAAATAGATACACAACATTCTATATGTTGAATCTAATTTTTATAAGAAAGTTGTTATCTATTAAAAAAAAAAGAATATTTCTAAATTATAATCCTTATGTGAAGTTAGTTTAATGAATAGTTTTCGTTATTTCTGTCATTGATCTATTCAGGGGCAGATCCAGAACTAGATAATTGGGGGGTGGAGGCAATTTTTAAAATACATACAAAGCACACGTTTACGACGAGCTCAATGATGAAATATTTAAGAGTACCATAAGTGATCCTGATGGCAATGATTGCCCCTCCCCCCCGTCTCTTGAATTTGTCACTGCAACTGTTGCAACATTTAGACAAAAATATTTATTAGTGATAGTAATTTTTCTAATAGTTAACATTTCTTAGAGTAATCAATATAAGCGTAAATAGGATCGGGGACTTAGTTTTTCACTTTTTTTTACTATAGTTTCCCCAAAAATGACCTAAAATCATCAAGTTTCAAACACTATTTGTGCCTATGGTGATCAATGTAACTTTGTTTATATTTTTCAAGAGTAGATTTATTGTTATCATTTGAAGTTCTCCATAATACAACATAGCCCTACACATATTATAACACTATCACCTTAATATGGGTGATTATCCTTTGCATGGTTTAAAAGGTAGTTGTTTAAAACGATTTAATCGGTTTCTTTGAATTAAATCAACAAATAAAATAATAATGTCAAAACATTGATTGTCTGTATTGTAAAATTTCACTTTTTTGGGTTGGACTGAGATTATGATTCTATGCACACCTATATTATAAAATATAATTTAAATGTCCATTTTACTGTCTCTGATAATCTCTTAAATCACTGAACCGATTTCAACGGAACTTTTGCGGCAAAATAGATGTTTTTCAATATTTTAGTATGGAGTACTTTTTAAATTCTTAACTCGACCCTTAAAAAAGACGTCCTAGGATTATAGGGGTAGATGCAGCGTCTATTGTAGGTAATTTAATGTATACCTTTAAGCAACGATAAACTATTGTTTACGACAAAACGATTCTCAGATTCTAAATTCTAAACGATTTTTAATAAAAAAAATTCACATTTGTTTTCTAATCAGTGGCACATCAAACCGAAAATAATCCCCCCTATTCCAATGGATACTTTAAAGTTTTCTTTATTTTTCTTATCTAAACATTGCTTTCTCTGTCCTTTACATATTGATACCTAAAATAATTTTAATTTAACCGCTTTTGAAATTTCACCATCTGGGGTGAATGCCTGTTTTGTACATCCCTTAATGCGCCTCTATAGTTTATGTTGTATAAAAATATATATATATATATATTTAAATCTTATCTATACATTTTTAACAATATAATAACAAGATTTTATTAATAAGTATTCAATGTATAGCTGAGTACTGAACCTTTTGAATTAGTGTTGAACATATTTACCATTTAAAAATGTTAATTTTTCACAGCATTTATCAAATAGGTATTATAAAAATATAGTCAAATAAAAAAAAAACATGAAATAACGGATTAGACTGGTTTATTTTGAGGTGTCAATACATATTATACATATTATTAATTATTAATTACATACATAATACGCATTGTTTGGACTATGGCGTTTTTGAGTTTGCAATGTATGGACTACATGAGTTTAACAGGACTGAAACAAAAAACAAACAAATTAATATATTATATGACACAACTAGGTGTAGGTCAGGTAGAAACAATATTCATAAATTGTTAAATAATATATAAGCATTTAGTATCTACCGAAATTATTATGTAAAGGAAAAGAAAAAGAAAAATTCATAACGTTGAAATATTATATAAAATTCGATAAATTATTCTTATCCTGATAAATTTGACAATTATGTTCGATTATCAATACATTACAAAATAATATATTATATGAGACAACAAGGTGTTAGGTAGGTATGATATTTATAAATTGATAATTATTGTGAGTTATATAAAATATTTTGTGATACAAAAAAAATTAAATAAATAAAAGTTAAACAAATTGAAATACACACACTATGATAATTTATATTCGATTAATTATCTAATTTATACTAAAAAATTGTTAAACCTTGAGTATTTTATATAATTAGTTATTGTATCGAATTTTTTTAAAAACACCAATTGCTTAATCAAAATACTTTTAGAAAAAAATATCAGTCCCACTAAAATGTAATTTCAGGAGAAAAACAACCACTTTAATCCATATTTGAAAAATATATATAACAAACGTTAAACGGTTTTTCTCTTTTGGTAAATTTTTTTTAAATTTTTCTCGAAAAAACAAATAGGTTTTAACATATATAATTATCATCGCTTTATAAAAATAAGACAGCAATTTAACGAGTATTGGTAATAATTGATAAGTACGGATATTAAAACAGTAATGATGAATAGACTTACCATCAATTGGCTGGTGGCTGGGGTGGCCTTGGCGACGGTTTTGATGGCTTTGGCAGATTGGATTTGTCCGACGACAACGATGTTCATGGATACCTTTTCAGCGCCCATTTTTGATTTTTGGTTTTGTTTTCGTGAAACGAAGTGAAGACTACAAACAGGAATAAAAAAAAAAAAACAATAATAAATTCAACCGAATAGAAAATAAATTGTATTCGTTCTCGTAAGTATATTATAACGATGTGTGTACTCACCAAAGAATAAAATTGCACAAAAAGATGTGTTATGCCTGAACAGAGACCCTGAATCCGTATTTATACTGTTTTTGGTCTGACGAGATTAAACCGCGGTGGCGTAATGGCGTGATTAAACTTCATACATCACGTCACGCTACGTAGGTGCTTACGTCACTTTGTTTAGGTAGCTACTTTTGTTTTAAACGGTACATGATATAGCTACCGAATATGGCGTGATTTAAATACATTCCAAAAACTAATTCGAACACATTATCAAAAAGCCAGGCAACTTGGCACGGGAGTGGGCCACTGTTGTAGGTGAGAAATTGGGTTGGTAGTAGAGAGAAAATGTAATATAATATACCTGTAAGCAATGAAAAACCATTGCTAACGAAAAAACCGATTTTGAAAATTCCATAAATTGATGGATTATTAATTTTAAAAAAATTTGAGTGTTGACATTTTTGATTCCCGTCGATACGTTGACGAGATATTTCACTTTTAAGTTTCGATTGGAGAAGAGTAGTGGTACATTATTAATACGCATCGCGCCGTACCACTGCACAAAAACACTCCCCTACTCACCTCCAACACAAATTTAATAGTAACATATCTCGTCAACGGCTTGACAGAAATCAAAAATTTCGGCACCAAAATTTATTTTTATTCTCTATCTTTTTACGAAATTATTAATATAGGTTGCCATTTAAATATCAAAAATAGATAGTAGTTTCACTCCCGAAAATAAGGGTGAAAAAAATAATAATGATGTAACATTTTAGAGCTGGTTATTCCTTAAAAAATTTGAAAACAAAATAAATAAGAATATTAATACTTTCTGGAACACTGAGTGTCTTGATTGATCATCCCGTATAAATTTTTAATATCCGTGATTTTTGTTCCAAATTATTAAAATTGTTGTGGAGCTAAATGGGTCTTTTATCAATGTTAATTTTTCATATGAAATGCTGTAATTACGAAATATCGTAACCATTTAAATTATTTTTTTTTAGATTCTAATCGTAGCGAGAGACGTGTGCTTTAAGACTCAGAACGTAGTCGGGAATTTATTGATTTATCGATGTAATGTGCTTTTAGAATCGAAACGTAGCTCAACAACAAGATTTACATTTTGTTGAATTTTTTATCAAGTTGGTGAGCAAGAAAGTCGGTTTTTGAGTTTCTTTCAACAATTTATAATAATTGAGTAAAGACGAGATATACGCAAAATGAACGGAAAGATTAACGAAAATAATTCTTTTATTCTTTTAAATTGGGTTTTTTGAGTGTAATTCAGAAAAGAATATTTGTAAACTTTAAAGTTTATATTGAATTGTTTAGGATCGTTAAAATTTTTAAAACGTTTGAGCCTTTTATTTACCTATTTATTGATTTAATCAATTTCAGGAGTTTTTTGCCATTTTTTTTATTTGAAATGTACTTTGTGAATAAAATGAATGGACTAAACAGAGATGTTTGAATTATGTTCGTTATATGACGCACTTGGTTGCTACAAAATAAACTGAGAGTTATATAATAATTTAGATTCAGAGTGGAGCGAAAAAGCTTATGGTTTTACAAAGACGTTTTCTTTTTTTTTATTTAAAATTTCTACCAGAAGTCTTGCTTCAATATTTTAGTTTAGCTCTTTTTCCGTAAGAAAATCTGTGTAAGAGGGGTTCTTTAAGGAAGTCATTTTTCTCAGGAGTTTTCTCACAAATGTGAAAAACCGAAAAGACAAGGGAAAACCCAGATAAAAGTAACTAATATAGAAAAATCGGTACAACATAAAACAAATATTATTAAAGAAAATATTCAATGCCTATTTAATTATTTTTATATACCATGACATGTCCGTCTTTAATTTTTTTTTCATATGCAATTTAAGATGAAAATTTTAACGAAAATCCTAAAAATTACGGAATTTAAAAATATGTCTAATCGAAATTTGAAGAATAAGATCTGATGTGGTATCGGGTTGATATCAGCTCTTTTTCATTAAATTTTTATTTTTTGTTTTTGAACAATTTTACTACCTGAAATCTTGACTGAAATTTTTGACTTTCTAATGGTTTATCTTAATAATTGTAAAAACCCGAAAGAAAATAATAGATGAAAAGGCAAATATTTACGCTACTAGTTTTCATAAAAGTTGAAAAAACCAAAAGAGACGAAATATACGATATTTTTTTTTTTTACGGCGCAACGACATCATTATTTGAGTCAGTCTTTGTGATAACATGAGCTTGAGTTATAATAATTTAATCACGCGATAGACTGTTAAAACAAAAGTAGGTACCCAATCAAAGTGGCGTATGTTCGAGATTTAATCACGCCACTTCGCCGCCCGCGTTTTAATCTCCTGCTAAAAACAGTATAAATACGGATTCGAGATCTCTGTTCAGACATAACACATCTTTTTGTGCAATTTTATTCTTTGGTGAGTACTCACAACTTTTATAATATATTTTACGAGAACGAAAACAATTTAGTTTCTATTCGGTCAATTTTATTATTATATTTTTTTATTCCTGTTTGTAGTCTTCACTTCGTTTCACNACAAGCCAACTTATGGTGAGTGTAATAACCGTTTAATAACACTTATTAATTATTCCTCAAATACATACAATTTTCTGCTAAGCGATGATAATTTTAAAATCGATATTTTTCTCGACGAATATTTAAAAAAAAAATTAAACTTTTTTCTAACGCTTATAATGATTCTTTTTTTCCACTAGAAATGCATATTAGTATAGATATGATTTTTTTTATTTTATAACACAATGTTAAAACGCGATGCTATTATAATGTATCGGTACTTATAAAAAAAAAAAAAAACGATAGCCAAATCATTTTCTCATACTACACGATACCTGAATATCCAAATGTGTTGGTTATCGAAAAAAATTATCAATCTAATACATTTTTCAGAACGAGGATAGTTTTATTTATTTTATATATTTTAAATAACATTCTTTACACGTTTTTGGCTACACTAAATACTAAAATATTTTATATTACTTATAATTATTTATTTTGTTTTTTTCAGTCCTGTTAATCTCATGTAGTCCATACATTGCAAACTCAAAAATGCCATAGTCCAAACAATGCGTATTATGTGTGTAATTATTAATTAATAATATATGTAATATGTATTGACATCTCAAAATAAACCAGTCTAATCCGTTACATCACGTTTTTTATTTTTTTATTTGTTCATATTTGTATAATACCTATTTGATTAAAGGTTCTGGTAAATTAACATATACGAATAAAAGTTGTTAATATGTTCAACAATAATTTGAAATTNAATATATGTAATATGTATTGACACCTCAAAATAAACCAGTCTAATCCGTTACATCACGTTTTTTTATTTTTTTATTTGGTCATATTTGTATAATAACTATTTGATAAATATTCTGGTAAATTAACGTATACGAATAAAAGTTGTTAATATGTTCAACAATAATTTGAAATTATCAGTACCTAGATATATGTTGAATATCTATTGAATAAAATCCTGTATTAGGTTTTTTTAAAATCAAACGGATATACTTGGCACGATGCATAGGCCAAATGCAGTAGGTGAGAAGTTATAAATGTAGAGATGAAATTTAATGCATATCTGTTCTCTCCTTTTTTTTCCATTTTATTTTAAAAACCTTTCAAAAGTGCTACCCTTGTCAAATTTCTATTTAAAAATTTTTTCTAAAAATGTACAAAAGTTGTTCACAGAAAAAAATAATTATTATTATCGTAAAACGAATATGTCTATTATTCGTTTTTTTTTAAATCTGAATATATTAAAAAAGACTTAAAATTATACATATTTGTATATAATAAGAAACAGTGGCATATTTACAGGTAAAATGGGCAATAACCTCGGACGGTAAATTTTCAAAAAAACAGTTAAATCAAAATTATTGTTGGTGTCAATTTGTAAAGGACCGAGAAAGCATGGATGAGATAATATAAATAAATAAGTTATTTTATCATAAATACGTCAATGTAGACGGGGGCGGAGGAACTCTTTTTCTCCCGAGACTAAAAATATTGGTGGATAGGCCTATCGGAAATTCGGGATTTTCCCTGAGGCCTCCCATCAATATTTCACAATATTTCCGTCGCTATGGCACAAACAGGTTAGGCCATTGCCTTAAGGCGGAAATATATTCAGTGTAATCAGGGTGTCATTTTCGTAATAGACAATTTGTTCTAAGATTCACAACTAATGAATTAAACAATATCCAACAAATTATTGATTGACAAGCGAAATTAAATTTAAAAGATGAATCATCAAGAGAAGATCAAACTTATTGACGATCTTGACTTGGTCAGGATTATCATTTGTGAAATCTTCTCTAATAAAAGAGTTGTTCTTTCTGGTTGTATACTATAGAAGCTAGTTTCGAAAATTCAATAACATTTAAACTATATCAGTAAGACTGATATTAATTTAAGTTTTTCTATAAAAAACTTTAAATTATTCAGACTCCACTCAGAATCTAAAAAGACACATTGTAAACAGTAATTAACAGTTATATTTAAACATGTCCAATCAGTTCTTAATTTGCGTTTCCTGAGTAAATTCGTAACTGCGAATTGCGAACGTTTATTGGACAAAACGATTCATTTAAATTAGCTTTATAGTTTTTTTTTTCTTTTGTAACAGCAATTAATTAATTTAATTAAGGTAAGATTTTACTTTCTCCATCGAAGAAAATGTTAAAAGGAACTGAATATTTTTCAGAGTATCAAGAAAAGCTTCTAGACATAGTTACAAAAATATTTATTACGTTATACAAATCTGGTTTTAACATTTTTTGTTGGTTTAACAACAATTGTGATGAAGTAAATTGATACGTTAATGAAACGTTATGCATGTTAATTTTAAAGTTTTCATAGTACTGTAATAAACATAATAGCATTTATTAAATTTGAATAATATTGACTATTAATGTAGTATATGTAGTATACGGACCGACTTAATTAACATACATTTCTCAATTTTACTCAGAAAACTGAAATTCTATCCGATATTCTATTAATTATAATTGTTATTTATTATTTAAAAAATAATTTCACGTTTTGTTTTCTACTTGTAAGCACATGAATAAAAATTGTATCACACTACCTAACCTAATAGGCAGTGGCACACAATACATTTTTCACAAGGGTATCGAAAATATAAATATCTAGTTACCCACCCACTCAACCAGTCAAATATGAGTTTAATCATAATAAAACTTAATTACAAATCAATACTATTAATATTAAACAAATATACATAAAAAGAACATCTAAACTCACCTGACACCATCACTTGGAAAATCAAAAAATGATTTTGCCCCACAAGACTATTAAAAGAAATCGAACTTCATATCATACATTAAGTGAATAAATTAATGCATTTAAACTACAAATGTAAATTACACTTAACTAGCTACTGAATAATGAATAATAAATAAAACATATCTATACAATTTGTTCGCATATGAAAAGTCAGTTTTTGAAATTTTGATAATATTTTGGTAATCTAATGTTAAAATTATTTATTTTAAAAACGTGATATCAAATCACGTGCATTATCATATTCAATAAATGAACAAACAAAACGTTTCATATTGGTGTACTCAGTTTACCTCCATGATTTCAATTATTGATAACACTCTGATTTACGATTTTGCCTCGCATGGTCGCACATGGTATTCCCTCGTTTTCCACTACATTCCTCGCTTTTCTCAGAATTTCTAAAACAAAATTGAAATTACCTAATAAAACCATTATTTCCATACAATTTTTCATCCTTTCTACTTTTTTTTATTAGGTTATCGAAATTATTATTAACAAAACTACACAGAAAATCAAAATACGATGTACTTACTCATCAACTAATATAAAAATTCACCAATAAAGGTTTTGTCGTTTTTCTATTCGAGCAATATTTCTGATAGAAAACAAAGCATACACGTTTAAAACAATGAAATCATAAAAACGTAACATCGTGCATTTTTTTTGGTTTTCATTTTACGTTTTTTTCCGGTTTTTCCTAACTATTATGAAAACTGCATGGAAAATCAAAAAGTGACTTACTTCTTCGACAGCTATATCCATAACTCAACTATAAAGATCTTTGATATTTTTTTAAATAATGCCAGATATCTGGTAGAAAATATAATGCGAACGAATTTAAACTGATGAAATTGACAACAGCCGCGGTGTGCCGTAAATATTTGTTTTCTGATAACGTTTTTCCCAGATATTATAAAAGCCCCTCGGAAAATCAAAAAATGACTAGACAATGAACCAGCCAGATTGAAAATGCAATAAAAAATTCGTTTGTCATTTGTTGTTTGGAGCTATTTTTCAGGTCGAAAAGTTTTTCACAGACGTCGAGTTCCTTATTTATCGATCTCGTCACCATTTTCGGATTCATGACTCTGAGTTCCTCCAAACATTAGGAATAATAAGACAGCGATACAATTATTATGCTGAACGCCCCGTTTTCCCTTTAAGATCCTTTACGTCCTTTTATTTATATGTATACCTACCTATTCTCATCCCCCTTTTAGTCATTGTATTACGACCCCGAAAAGAATATTGCTATTAGATAGGGGTACCTGATTTCCCTTTTTACTTCTTGTGTTATCACTACTGTCCACTTAAAATCGTATGTCCACGTTGAACGGGAACAAATCTGGGAAAGCAATTGCTACACCCCACACCTACCCATAATAACGTGGGCACCGGTAATAGACGTTTTCCGTACAATGTAAATATTTTAAATAAAGCAAATAATTATATAAACACGAAATCGACGGACGAAAATAAATGACGCAAACGAACGAACGCGTCGCCCGGAGTACTGCGATGGGAGTGTTTATACGGCCGGTTTCGAATTAAAAATTCCTCGCCGGGTGTATCACGGTCGAAATGTGAAACGCGACCGAATACGAACAAATTAAACGGCCGCGTTGAAATGCCCGGATTTTCATATCGAAACCGGCCGTGTGAACGCGACGCATTCGTTCGTTTGTTTGTATTCTATCGTATTCGTACATTTATTTACCAACTATGTTTATTCGCTTTATTTACGGGCGTTGACCATTTTAATAATTTCGTTTCAACGTTATTATTTCATTGTAAATACGTTTGTAGGCACAACGGGTACTTGTATTGACCAGCACGGCGGTCACGCCATGGTCGGTCAGCGGACCGTGTAGGTACCGACGGGCGAACATTGCGTGCCGGAACCAAAATTGCCGGTAGAAAAATTGTTCACGGGAATAAAAAGAACGCCGTAGTATTTGTTCAACAAACACCTACGTTCCGTACATTTTCAGTTTTCCCCTCCGTTATTTTCTTCGACTTTTTAACGTTCGCTTATTTTCTTATTATTCTTAGTAAACGTTTTTAATTTTATTCTATTTTATTATATCGCAATCAAAATATTTCACTTTCATCGCGACCCATCAAATATACACTTCCCGTGACCCAATATTGGGCCGCGGGAAACACTGTTCTACAGTGTTCATCGGGAATAAAAATTATTCCGGTACATATGGTATCCGACTATTATTGGCACCCACTATTGTTCACGAAATTCTTAGCCATCAATGTCCAATCAAAACTGAAAAACTAACCGCAAAACCATATTCCATAATATAAAATTCGAATAATATGTTGAACGGTATTTTTTAACACGACGATCACGCCATGCCGCTGACAGACGAATGAGCTTGCGTGTCGGGACCACGCCACAAGATCACTAGTCGTCTAATCGACTTCTGGAAATGTATATATACGCGTATGCCATTTCTGTTCCGGCATAACACGTCTTTTTGTGAGACATAATTGTTTGGTGAGTGATTTTCTCGTCTACTTAAATAATGTATCTGCAAAGTTATCATTCGGCAATTGTTTTAAATTTGAAATCGTTTTTCTTTCAGCTTTCGAATTCACTCCACGAAACCCAAACCAAAAATCAAAAAATGGGCGCTGAAAAGGTATCCATGAACATCGTCGTCGTCGGACAGGTCCAATCCGCCAAGGCCATCAAAACCGTCGCAAAGGACGCCCCAGCCACCAGCCAACTGATGGTGAGTACCCACCTACTTCTTTTCATCACAAATATCGTTTTTTTTTTTTTAATTCTGAGAAGAGCAATATTTGTCGTTTCAGAAAAAATTTGGGACTTCGGGGTCAATAAAAACTACTTAATAGTAAATTTTTCGAATTATTTTTAACTATAGTTTTTTCATAAGCACCTAAGCCCCTAAGATCGATAAATTATGATGACCGTCTTGTTACAATCGATTTTGATTATTTTGCTATAACCCAAATGAAAAAAAATAATTATTGTTTTCTTGAACTGAATATAATAAATATTAATTTTAGTATTTTAAAAAATGAATCAATTGTTCGAATTTTCTTGAAAATTTGTTTGTACTTTAGGATTTTCGGTTCCAGTATTCAAATATTTTACTTAAAATATTTTTCACATGCGATATTTGGTTTTTTCAATATTGATGATAATATTTGTTTTTTTCAGACTTGTTAATTCAAGACATGTTCATCAATCATCATCTCAAAAATACCATAGTCCAAATTATACATAATAATATGTATTGACACCACTTTAAAATAAACCACTCAGTTTAACAATTCATTGTTTTATTTTTTTATTTCTTATAACTGTATTCCTTTCAATATTTTAAGTTTTGTAAGCGTAATGTGGTTAGATTATTCTCTAGTCTGGAGTCTATATAACATCAGTTTTCACACGGATTAGTAGAATTTAAAACGGCTGTTACCTAGAAACTATTCATCGGATATAAATGTGTCATGTACTAACATTTTTAGAAAAATAGACTTTACAGAAACTTAACAGGTACCTTTAAATTTTCTGAAAATATCAAAATATAAAATTATTTTTTTACTAAAAAAAAAAAATTTTAATTTAAAAATAAATATTTGTAGTCCTCGTCCCTGTAAGTAATATAAATAAATCTGAACTTGATTAGCTTTATCTTCAGAGATATTGGAGGGGTATATCATTGTGGAACAGCCTGTATAATTTGATGATGTTTATAAATTATAATATATTACCTATCAAATATCATATTATAACAATAATACAATTACAAAATATTTATACTTTTTATAAAATGTCTAAAATCTACTAATTAATGACATCAACAATATTGTAACCGTACACCGACCTTGGTTTAGAAATGCATACTTAAGGGTTAAGTATGGATAAAGTCAACTCTAGACAGTTGTTGTCGGATTTATTAGTGAAGCCTTAGTCAATGTTAGAACAGTATTATAATATTAATCAATAGGTATTACTCGTATTACTATAGTAATATTTTTAACATTAAGTTTAATTAACTGTCATATTGGTATACCTCAATAGGTATTCTACATAAATTGTTTTTGTTTTTTTTTACATTTGAATTTTGAAAAATAATAATTTGGTTTCTATTAGATTATTTATATTCATAAGAATGAGGTTCTAGATCTTGGTTTAAATAAACAAGTAGGTATATTTAATATTTTAAATGAAAACGAAGAATAATATTTTCACGAACATGATTATTTTATGTATATACATATACTATATAGGTAGTAATGATAATAGAATAATAATATTTAAATTATTGTTCTTTAGGATTAAAATGATTGTTAAAATTTTAATTTCGTACATAATTTATAAATGTAAAAACTCAATATTATATTATCCATGAACAAATTAATAAGATTATTAACAAAATACTAATTAGTATAAATGGAATTTTTAATCATGATCTGGATAATAGTGTTTAAAATTTGGAAACACTTCATTGGCAATCTCTGTTGATGATGTAGCTAGTATTCTACGATGCATCAAATGAAATGTTTTACCTGAAATTAATAATATATTATAAGTATTATCATCAAAGTACACATTATATTGTAATATATTAATCCTTAATATTGATTACCGGCTGGATCGAGTACAGTACCACCAGCTTCTCTGACAATAATATCGCCCGCTGCCATATCCCAAGCATGAATACCCATTTCCACATACAAGTCAATAGCTCCTCTTGCAACTTGAGCCAAATTCCAAGCAGCTGAACCAGCAGCACGAATACTAGAAAAAAGAAATATTATGTTTACCTGTAAAATTGAATGCAAGAATTCTGTTGTGAAACAGTACACAATTAAAACTTTACCCGTGGGCATTCAATGCTAAATATTTAATGTTGTGATCCACAATATTCCTAAATTCTTCAGTTCTGAGTGAACCATATTCTACAGCAACCAAAGCATCACTTAATTCTAAAATAACCAAAAAAAAAAAAAAAAAAATTAAAATTACAAATTTGGTATTATAGGTGCCAAGAAATATTACTTTTGACGCCACTGACTTTAATGGGTTCATCATTTAAAAATGCGCCTTCGCCTTTTATCGCTCTAAAAAACATGTCCAAGATAGGGTTGAAGATAATACCTAACTTGATGTCGCAATCAATAGAAAGACCAATAGATATGCAAACATTTGGATAGCTATGCACAAAATTAGTGGTACCGTCCACAGGATCTATAACCCAAGTGGGTGAACTAGTCAACACCTCTTTCTCGCCAGCAGCAAATGATTCTTCTCCGATAAACCTTAAATTTTATTTTTTATATTATTTTATTTTTTTGAATTCCTTCCAACATACTTATGATTTGGATATTTTTGTTTAATTCCTTCAATGAGCAATTTTTCCACTTCTTGATCGGTTTCAGTGACAAAGTCAATAGCGTTGGCTTTTGTCTCTATAGTTTTCTTTTGATTTATTCGAGACTTAATGATCTACAAAAAAATATTGTATTATAAACGTAGGGAATCAATTTACATGGCATTTGTTTGTACAATCATAATATTATATAATAATAAATTGAATAACGATCTCAATGGGAAACGACTTTTATTAAAAGTACTAACATATTAGGCATGCATAATCATACATTTGGTAGAACAAGACTCAAAAATTGCTTCATAGATAAACTTCATTCATCCCATATTTTTAGGTATTGAAATAGGAGAAGGACGGTATGTTAGCTACTTCAATATAATATTATATATTATCAATATAGCAATACCTTTCCGGCATGTCGTGCAAGTCCAGTGACCAATTCTAGGCAATCGTGCAGGTCAACGGTTTCCCTTGCACAAGACGTCATGGCGTTAGATTAGTTTTTGAAAAACTTGCAATAAGTCTGTAACGTACCAAAATTGTGTAAAAAACACAACAAACAGTATTACTATAGCGGCGCAGGGCGTCGATAGCTCATTTTGGATTCGATACACGACTGATAAGAGAGTGATAACGGATACGGCATTATCAGCAGCTGTTAATCAATATGCGATTCTTTCTATCGAAGTGCGAGCGGTGCGTTTTGTTTACAAGTTACTGTTCCGAATGCTCTGTTGATGACCGACGTTCAATTTGTTTTCTGTTGTGTGCACTCGGACTCTCATAAACTGTAAACACCACCCGCGACCCGAACGGTTTTTTAGGATTTCCGGTTGTAATACTGTGTCGTTACGCGTTCGCCGCCTACCCGAAAACGTCGTATTCGACCCGTTGTGCACCGATCGGTTTCGTCCGTCATTGTTCAACATTGTGACCAACGGCTGTTGTCCAACAGATTACAGCCGGACGAGAATAGTGAATATTATTTTTTACCAGTTGAGGTGGGGCACCGCCACAGCACAACCGTTGTCTGCCACTTTTGGTTTGGCTGCCGTAAGCTTACTGCCTTGTATATTGTCTGTCCGACATAATTATAAATTGCAAAGCGTAATAGCCGAATTTTCGGAAACCATGTGAATATTGAAAATCGAACATTGTAATTAGTAATAATATGGCAGAGTAAAAAATATAAGTTAGTTAACATTTTTGCAGATAGAAAGTAGGCACAGAATTCCTTGTGTAAAAGTAAATTGCGGACAGGGATACTGGTTTTTTTCCCCTCATTAATCTAGTTATAATCTTATTTTTGGAATTTATCATAAAAATTAGTTACTAAATTAATATGCGTACCTAAATACAGATATTATTTAATCAGGGAAATAACAATAATTTATCAATGTAAATATTAACCTAATTTCTGTTTTGTTCAAATAATTAGTTTTTTTAATAAGCTGCTGTTATTTTTGACAATCCGCAAGTACTAGCTATGTGCTGAAAAACTAATTAGGATACTTACTTTTTATTTATTTATTTTTTCACGGTATATGGGTTGGTTAACTTTTAATACAAAACCAAATTGACAATATAAAATACCTGTGTAATGAGAACTAAAATACCTATTGCTCGAGAGGAATTGATTATCATTTATTTCAAACAAAACCTCATAATTTAAAATAGCTTACTAGTTTATTATAATTTTTCATTGCTGAGTAGTGAAAGTGTATAATTCACGGAAAACAATTTCTGTGGGTATCAATTCCCTGTCGACAGAAATAATACTTACCTAATATGTGCCTTTTTAAAATCTGAAAAAAAAAACAGAACTAATAGTTCTTTTCACTCGTTTAGTACCCAAAATACATTTTATTTTTAAATGTTTTTTTTTTTTAGGTTGTTTATAATTACTCATGCCCAATAAATCTGTAAACTTATTTTAACAATCTTATACAATTATGGTCAATGATGAAACAGATTATGAATCAATAAATATAAATGAGCATAACATGTTAGTTGGTGACGATTATGAATCTGGTAATTTATTTTTCAGCTTCATATACATACAGTAGTTAAGACAAAAATGTATGACAATATAATAATATAGTCAAAATTTTTATTTAATATTTGTGTTTAGTCGTGATTCATGGACAAGTCGGAAGTAATTTTGATAGTTACCAAAATGTTGAAAATGAATTGGTACAAGAAATATTTGATACAGATATTCATATTGAACAACCTAACGGTTTGTGACTAATTTTTTTTTCAGTTAAATTTAATGAATATTTATAATATTAACAATACTTGAGGTTTCGTTTTAAATATATTGTTCATGTTTCAGGTATTTGGCGATACAATACAATTCGTTATTTGATATACTGCTGGAGTCAATTGAAAGATCAATTTGCCAAGTGTCCGGATAAAAAGAAGAAAGCATTATGGCAAGTAATTTCTGAACGTATGGTTGAGCAAGGTTTTTATTTTGATGCTTTGTCATGTGAAGCTAAATGGCGCAGTCTAAAAAAAGTTTATATGTATAATAAAACAAAGACTGTAAAAAAAGATGGTTCTAAACATACAGTCGTATGGGCTCATTATCACGATATGGACAGGGCTATAAAAGGCATTTCTTACGATATTTCTGGTAAAATAAGAACATAATTCATTTGACCAATTAACACTTTTATCGAGCATTTATTAGGTTTTTTTTTTTTTATATAGATATTTTTGATGGCAATGATGATGACGTAAAAGAATGTTCAGCTAATAGTTGTATCACTACTATTAGGGATTATGAAAACACCAATTCAATATGTATATACCATTTAAATAAAATGTTGAATGTAAATATTAATTTTTTGGTGTTTGTGTAAATTATATTAGTAGATGGAAGTGATGATAAATGTCAGTGGACGAATGTTTCAACCAAGGAATTGATTAGATTATACGGTAAACACAGAAGTAAATTTACGGCTGTCAATCAAGGGGGAAAACATTTGTTGTGGCAAGAGATTGCTCAACAGTTGGCACAGATGGGATACCAATATTCAGCTAATGCGTGCAATGATAAATGGCGCAATTTAAAAATGACTTATAAAAAAAATAAGCAAAGAGGAATGAAATATGGGACACAATATATTAAATGGATTTACTTTAAAGAAATAGACAACATTTTAAAAAATCCATCTTCCCATGAATGTAAGTAGATTTAGTTTTTTATTCAAGCATATAATAATTTTTAAAAATTGCTATAATATTTATTTAAACATGCATTGTTTAATGCAGCTACAGATATTGGAAATATAATCACAGTATCGTTAACCGATGCTAATGAACTTGAAGACATAAAAAAAAAATTAGGTGAAAATCACTTTGATGACTGTGTAGATTTTCAAACACAAGATGTGGATATCATTGAAAATAACGATAATAATAATGACAATGACGGAATATCAAGTAAGTAATGTTAATAAACGATAAAAGACTAAACAAAAGTTTTGTACGATTTAAGCTTACCTTTATAAATTAATTCTTCATAAAATAATTATTTAGGTATTTCGGAAAATTGGACAGAAGCGGCCACTAAATGCTTGATTGATTTATGGGGTATGTACCGTTCACGTTTTATGTTGGCCCCTCAAGGTAAAAAACGTTTTCTATGGAATGAAATTAGCGAACAATTACGTCAAAACGGTCACAACTATTCCGGTTTGGTATGTGATCGTAAATGGCGTCTATTAAAAGCAAACTATTTGAAAAGAAAAGAAAAGTACAAAAAATTAGGAATAGGTGCAGTGAAGTGGCAGTACTATCATGATTTAGATCGATTGCTCGGTGTACCTACTGAAACTAGTGAGATATTTCTATTTTACAATGTTGGAAAACTATTAACTATTGAATGTGTTTACTTTATATTTATAGTTTCCTGGAGCATGGAATCAACTATGTGCTTAATAGAAAGTTTTGACCACCATAAAGATAAATTTATGAAAGCAGCAACTGGTGGAAAACTCGCGATATGGAAACAAATAGCCGAAGAAATGTTGCAACACGGTTTTAGTTATAGTGCCAGAGCTTGTGATAATAAATGGCGTACACTAAAAAATCGTTATAATAAAAATAAAATGCGCGCAAACAGAAATAAAAAAGTTGTTTGGGTATATTATAATAAAATTGATGCAGTATTAAAAGGTAATACTTATAGCATTTTCTTGCATGTTATTATACTAGGTATAGAAATTATTATAGTTTTTTACATTTAATTCTCAGAATTAAACAAGGAAGATTCCAATGACCAGGAAAAATGTAATATTGATAAGAATAATCATAATTCATGTGAAAAAAATGATTCTGGAGAACACAACTATATTAAGACTATGAAACCAGAATTTTCTATAAAACCAGAAACTATTGCTGAAATAAAAGATATATTTATGAAGAGAAATATAGAATTTGATCAGAGGTAATGTGTGCATGTTAATTGTTGATTTAATTATTTGCTCATTAATATTTTTTAAATTGAAGGTTTAAAGAAATAGAGGATAATTTAAACAACAGAGATCAAGCATTTGAGAAGCTTCAACAGCAAACTTTGGAAGCTCTAAATAAATCAAATGAATTGGAAACTCGAAAGTTGAGACTTTTAGAACAACTAGTTTCAAGATTACCACACCACATTTCCTAAATTGTAAAAATAGATATAAGGTCATGTTATTTTTTGTTATTAATATAAATAATTGTATTTGTTATCATAAAGTTATTTGCAAAACAGTATAAATAGGTGTTAATCATTTGAACAAAATTGATCACTTACAAACTTAAATTCAATTTATTACATATTTCTTGTCGTTTTTGAACACTGAATTCATCGTAATAATCACATATGAATGCGCAGCATTCGTAAGGTGTGCAGTCAACGTCGTCATTATTTCCCAGGCACAAGTTATGCAAGCAACAAGCAGCAAATATCAATATAGCAAATTTTTCTTGTCCCCATAAATCTAAGCAACTATTTTATAAAAATGCAAAAAGTATTATAAATTATAAATTTTAAATAACATTTTATGTAGGTTTTATATTTTGAACATACAGTAGTCTTTTGAATCGTCCCAAAAGTTTGCCAAATGCCAAATTTATAATATTCAATGGTACTTCAATAGCATTGTTGTAGATGTTTTGTGAATCTGTATTGTGAGAAACATCAAAAAATGGTGTCATAAGGTTAGGTAGCAAAGGGTAACAGTATTGACCAACAATATGAGTGCTGCTGTTTGGAAATAGGGTCTGTGGATCATTTAAAATTACTTCGGCTAAAGGACTTTCTAGAAATGTCGATGTAGTGACAGCCGATTTGTTCAAATAACTAGTGAAGACATTATAAAATTGGTATCTATTATTGCATACACACTGTAAAATGTAAATAAACATTATTCACTATTAGTTATAAAATACACTGTTAATTTTTTTTTTAAGGAATGACAATTATTGAAATTTCTATGTCAAATAAAAATATACTATATAAATTAAAAATCAAATACACATTTTACAATAAAATATTTGTATTATACGTATGTATTATTCAATCTATATATTTCTTAAATATACATACGAGTAGTAGCATAAAAAAATTATGATTTATAAGATTTAAGTGCTTGGTTTTGTTGCAGTGATGTAACGATTATAATGACAATGTAATGTTGTCTGTGTTGTTACCTTTTACATCAAGTAAGGTTTTATACTAAAAATTAATTAATAGTTGTTGCCTATTCAACCAATTTATTGTTAATTTTGGGTGGAATCACCATCTATTGCCACCTTAAGAATTCTTTCATACACACATTTATTATTTTGTCCACGGTCAATTGAAAATTCAACTATCTATATTTTACAACTAACCCAATACTTGGTTAATATTTCATAGCTTCATGAGAAAAATTATATGTACAACTTCTATGACCATCCTATGCTATTTATATGTTGGTAATACAAACCAGTAAATAAATTGATATAAATCTAGTTTAACACCTCCTCAAAATTTTGCATATTATTTTTAGAATCCTATTTATTTTAAAGTTTTAAAAATAATGGTGCAAAGTTTTTTTTTTAATACAATATAATTGAGTAGTCATAGATGGTGACTCAACCCTATTTATTAAATTATAAAATTATTAAAATTATTATTGCATTTATTGATTTATAAATAATACATAAATGCTATATAAAGTAGAAATTATTCTTTATAATTAAAGGTATCAGCATATTAGCATACTTGTAGGGGGATCCTTTGAATATCCCTTCCTCTGAGAATTGTTTTTAAGTCAATTCGATGTTTATTTGCATAACAATTGTCATACTACTTAGAAATATTGTATTGCATTATTATTGAATATTGTATTGTTACCTGAATTGCTATCGAAGAACCATTTTTGGTGTATTTGGATGGGTTAGCAGTACTTGATTTTTTTAAATCTACTGTTCCGATTACACCGAGTATACCGGGAAATTGATTGCCCGGCATTTCATTAAATGCTTTTATTTCTGCATGGGCTTGATTATCGATTGGCCAATATATCAGTTCACCCATACGTTTAAACAATGTGTTTGTAATATCATTGACACATTTGTGAGCAGAGCTAATTGCTATTTGAAACTTTGACCCTATTTCCCTATATTAATTATAGTATACATCAAAGATCAAATAAACTGCCAAATTACTACTTAGTATTTTATTGATTATGAAGAATAATAATATATACTTGTAACTCTGAACTGTTCCTAAGTATGTCAGAGCGACTAACAATTGTTTTTCAACGTCCAGTTCTGTTCTTTTATATGATGTGCTACCAAATTCTTGCATTAAGTGATTACATATGATCTGAAGAAAAGATAAAATTATGCATATTAAAAAAAAGAGAATAATACCACTACCAATGATTATCATGTAATACATATCCAAGATAAATATTTACCTGAAATGAGCTTCTGGTAATGAAAAACTGATCTTTGAAATTTGATTCTTCTAACAGTGATGATTGTAAAGCCACCGGATCTAGGGATAGTGCAACATCAGTGTTGTTGTCCTTGTCATTTCTGTTTTTGATTTCTAGAGGTTTGTCTTTGTTTGGATTGTTTAAACCCAAACATGTTAATGTGACATCAAATTCGAACTGAGTGTTTATTATTTCGTCATGCAAAATTGTATTGAGTAGTTTTGTGGTGTCTAGAAAAAACCATTACCATTCAATAATTAATATTTATTATAATTGTCTATACATTTATGTTACATAATCATATCCATAGAGATGATTTAATTAATTGTGAATTTGTTTTTATTTTTTTGTATTCATGACTGATAAACTTGTCACGAGAGACAGACACACCCGTTACAATTGTGGATTCTAGTATCGGTACAGCCATGAACATGTAACATAAACTATTTACGTTGTTGAACAGAAATATTGGGCAAAAAAATTTGATAAAGTTGTAGTCACCAACCCCAGAAAAAAAAAAAATTGTTAACTAAATAAGTTTTATCTTACCATTATTTAAAATGCAATAGCATTGTATTTAATTAACTAGAATCTCAAACGGTAAGAATAATAACACAATAGTAAAATTGTCTTCATTTTTTTTAGATGGCTATATTTTCATTGTTTTTTAATGAACACAATTTTGTTAAACGTTACACAATTTCAAAAAGTTTTACATATTAAAACTATAAATTAGTAACATATTTTATAATTACAAAATTGTTTATAAACATTCAGGTTTTGTTATTTTTTCAAAACGTAAATGTAAGCTATTTATTTTTTGAAATAATTACAACTAAAAAATAAATAATAATACATTGACAAATATTCGCTGTAAAAAAATAATAATTTAGTATATAAATAAATAATAATTGAATACAATCATTATAATTGTTTCATTAACAATAAATTATATAATACAGATATAATATAGGTAGAAACAAAAAAATATGCACAGTGTAACATTTGAATTATTTTAAGTAGTAGAATAACAGTAATCTAAATGTAATAATTCCACAAATTATAAAAAAAGTAAAATATTTGTGCTACACCCAGTATTTTAAAATTATAGATAATTTCACTTATTTGTTATTTATAAACAAAAAAAAATAAAAATAATAAATTATCACAAAATAAAAAAAATATCACATCATTCAATTTGAAAATAAAACAAAAAAGTTACAGTTAACAATAATTGAAAAAATGAGACCAAATGTAATTATTACATCTAGATATTATATTAAATGTTAACATAACAATAGATTAAAAGAAACCTTGTAAGTACATATTAAATTTAAATTAATAAATAATTAAAACAAATTAATATTATTTCTTTCTCAATCACCTCTGTGCAAGTAAAATTACATTTAATGTTTTTATTTACATATTAAGTACAAAAATCTACAAATAGTAATTCATATATTCTTTATGGTAGAACAATAGGTAAGCAGGACTTTTCAATACGTCATCGAATGGTACCATTCTAATTACATTATCATTACATTGATACCAATCACCACTCTGTTTCACATAAGATAAATAATGTCCTCCATTTATTAAACCTTCGTGACAGATAACAGCATATAAATTATAGATAGTTTCATAAAAAGAAAGACAATTGTTTATAAGCTCATTATCAGTTACAGATTTGCTTCTTATAAATTTCTCCATGTCTAGTGTTTCTGGGAATTCAACTACAGTAGTGATTTTATTTGAAACATTATCTGATGGCTGTCCAAATCGTTTCAATATGAAACACAAAACCATTGGTATATGTTTTAAAGTAAGTTGCTTGGTGGATAACTTTTTCGTTTGACAATTGGTGCAATCTAAATCGTTCAACAACTCTATTTGCCCAAATTGTTCTAGGCACGCCATTAACGTTATGTTTGTCGGATACTTTCCTTTTGAATCCATTGAAAAGTATATAGGAATATCGTTGATGATGTCAATTTTAGATGACACATTGTTACAGCTCTGGCATACAATGTCACTTTGCAAAACACCTTTGAACATTTTATGGATGATGCACTGGCAGTTTTCCAGATGTTTTATATCCTTGTCGTTTTCGTTTTGTATTATCGCATGTTTGTGTATAATATCCAACATGGCAATAAAACATTCGTGCGCATCATGCTGTACAGCAGATGCCATATACCAAGTATTATCCCAAAATATCTTTAATAAGTTTTGTAAGCTAATCACACTCACTTTCAACGCATAGGCTTGTTGAAAAATTCTACTAATTTCACAAATAATACAGCTACTGGGTTCTTTTAAAAATGGACATATGTGTTGGTCAGATAAAATATAATTGCGTAACATAGGTGTATGCATGAGTACTTGCATTACAGTATTTAAGAAACATGTATTACCCAAGTTAACAAATCCAGGAACTGGTGTGTTATTCGTGTACGCAACATTATTATTTTGTCTCAGTAAGTCGATGTGTTCCAAAGCAATAGAATTAAATTTAACAGTATACAGTTTTGATCTACTTTGTTTTAATTTGTTTGCTACAGATGCTATGGTCAAAATATCGATATCATAGGTGTAGTCATTGCAGTATGCACAAAACAGGTGACCAAAGGTCAGATTTATGCCAAAACTGTGTTTGGTAGTATTAAAATGTTGGCTTAAGTGTAAGGGACATGCAAAATATACACATGATAAGCATGATAATAATCGCGGCCCAGTAAACTTACAGTCGTGACACACAGCTAGTTTATCTTTAGCAGCTTGTGAATATTTGAATTGACAGGATACAAAGTATGCATGGACAATGCGATAATTAGTCAAAAATTCCTTATTCTTTTGTCCAATTATATGCTCACAACTGACCTTTGAATCCATTTATAATGATTGATAATTATTAATGTCAATAACTTACTATTGATGTTCACAACTCTCATTGACTGACTTAAATGCACAAAGTTGAATATATCCTTTTTACTCTTTCCTAATTCCAAGAATAAGTATTCCGATAATAAATCACCAAACTTCTGGTCAGGTGTTGTTTCAGAACCTGTAAAAACATTATTTTAGAATAATCAGAATATAAATTCTTCTCTTTCGCTTTCATCCCAACTATTTGGGTCGGCTACCCTTATCTAAACTTCCACTTGACCAGAACCCATCTCACATATAATGGCTGTTCTTATATCATTCTCAACAATCTTTTTTTCTTTAACTATTTTCTCTTGCATTTATTTTTATAACACTCCTTCAGATTCCTTTCTCCCCATGACATACTCAAACTATCTTAGTCAATATTTTCTCATTTCGTCAACTTAACTCTTATGTATTCATCACTTATTCTATCTTCTCTCTTCACTCTAATTATCCAAATAAGCATTCTCATTTCTTCTATATTCAATTTCAGTTCTATTTTTCTGTCTACCACCCAATATTCTGAACCATATAACAAAGTCATACTCATCACACTTTTGTAGAACTGAAGTTAATTAACAAGCAGAATACAAATATTCAACAAATTAAGTATTTAAGTATTAGGTAGATTACATAATTATTGAATTAATTTAAAGAAAAAGTATAGAAAAATACAATTACCTAATGGTTTCATTTTATCGGACTAAGTAAAACGATACTAAACTTTTTAATAAATTAAAACTATTACGTCATACAAAATTGTATACTGACTACTGTGTTTATGGTAAATCATTTAAAAAATTAATTTTAGTACCTATACCGAATTCGGCTATTAGGTATAAAGTTGTAGGAAATAGATCTGTGTAAAAAAAAAAAAAAAAATGGGCTACAATTTGTCAATTAACGTGGTTTTAATGTTTGGGCATGACGAAACCGTCATGTTATTAGTAACATGTTTATATTATTATATTTATGTTTGCTTATTAGAACAAAATCAATATTTGGGCAGCGAAACGAACGCAACGAGACGGGCTTATTAACTATCATGGTCTTGGCACCAGAGAAAAAAGCGTACGCGCCAGTGTACGACCTCCAAAACCAGTAGTGAGTATGATCGCGGCTTACCGGTCGAGTCCGGTTGTCGATTTGTTTCTAATGTTTGTGTTTCAAAGGTCGCGGGGCACCGTAGTCGTTTCCGTCTGACCAAACCAGTGCCGCTGTCACTAGAAAATCCGCATCCATCGCCGGACATTACACGCGAGAACAAACGGAATGCAGATAACGAACAGCGAGCTGTACATATGCGGGAGTAGTGGTAAAAGGAATACAAAGACGAAACCCGTCGTCAGTCAACCGGTTGGTCCAATCGGAGTAAAAACATCACACATGACAACACGAGGAACATGGTTAACGTAAATAAAACGACCAAGCGGTAAGCGCGTTATCAGCATACATAACTAAACAGCTGTTCGTCCGCGTGCCAATGTTGTGATATCGTGTCGCGGACGACGCGTCGGTCGTCGGAGAACCCGGAATCCTTGTAATGACGCCTAATCGCGTTTTAAACTAAGTAATTTTCTCGTAATGGTCGTTGCGTGCACGCACGTCAATCGACTGCGGACGAAGTCCGTGCGTAATTATATATCATTATTATATTATAATGATGACGTGAAAACGGGCGGACGGCGCGAGACAAACCGAATTCGTAGGCGTTCGTGGTGAACACGTCGCGCGACGGATGCCCACCGATAGTATGGAATTCCTTGTGTCTGCGACACGGCGGCGACGGAGGGAAAACGGTGAAACGGACAGCGTGAAATGACAGCAGAAAAAAAAAAAAAAAACAAAAAAATTATTTACTAGAGTAACGACAGCGAGTACGGAGACGCGAACGCTCGGAAGCGACGAAAATATCGTCGGGCCACGGGCGATTTATTTTTAAACCCGGACGATACCGCAACCGCTACCGCCTGTCCCACCGCTCCCCGCGCGCCCGGGTATCCCCTCCACCGACGGCGGCTCGCGGCAACCAGAGACGACTATCGTCCGTAAAATACTACTGCTGATACCGCAACCGCAGTCACGTCCTCCTCCACCGCCACTGTAACCGCTACCGTATTGTACCGACGACGACGACGCGACCGGCGGGGACACCGCGCGCGCATTTGTTTTGGTTCGCCGTATTATAATCAAATATTTTTAATCACCCGCCGCCCGTTCAGTGAGCTTATTGTGATAACGGTACGCGATCCGCGTCGAGAGTGTTTCTCCTCCGTCGAGTTTTGTAGTGTTGTAGTGTATCGGGAATAAAATCCAAAAAAAATTAAATACCTTATAAAAAAAACGTACACCCGTCGCGTACACCGCCGCTGTCGCCGTCATCGTTGTGTCTCGCGTTTTGTCTATCGTTTTTTTTCTATTTTTTTTTTTTGCTATTCATTTTGTTCTATCCATAATATTTTCGTCGTCCGTGCGCACTTAGGTAATATACACCGCCGGACAACAGTTGTTCCTCTCTCCAGTCCACTTATCAGCACAGAGTTTTCTACGGTAATCCCCCTGCCGGTCGGCTTACAAAAGCGTTCCCTTTTTTTTCTTTTCCCATAGCTGCCGTTCCAATCGGTTAGCTGGCACCGCCGCCTTTGTTGTTCGTTTTTAGGTACGGACAACGATGTGTTCGCGGTAGCTGTTTGCAAGCATATCCAGGGTCTCGGTTTTCTTTATCGGCACTATACCCTACCCCAAATATCTCGTACTTATCTGCGGTATAATGTCGCTTAAAGAAAATCAAATAGGAATAATGGGTATCGTGTACTACAAGTCTGTTCGGATTACAAAATCTGTTTTCCTACTAGTGTATTTACTAAAATGCGCAGTTCAATCAGAGCAGTTTAGATTTTTGTTGTTTTTTTTTTTTTTTTTGTTAACATTTATATGTTTTATAGTAATCACCTTAAACACTTACAATTCACTATAGTTCTCTTAATGTTCTATAAGTAGATACCTAGTATAATTATTAGTATTTCATTGTATTACATTCTATTAATTATTTCTATGTAATTTATGTATTTTACAATAAGTGTGTAGCTTAAAGATTAAGAGAGTAAACTATGTAAATTATTTAGATGTAGAATTATTAATGTTATGTGGTACCTGTTTGTTAATAAGTCGTGGCATCACACAGTAGATGGGTCTATGGTTTCCTCTACCATTTCCATCTAAACTAAAGGCAATCATCAAATATAAACAATATGTAAGTATATAATATAATATAACAAGTTATGATTACATTAGTGTTTCATAAATGCACCTATTGTTGTCTGTGTCTATTGCGAATAACATAATACTTAATATTATTGCGATTTGTTTCTTACAATTAAATGTAATTAAACAAATAGTATGTGATTTATGTTTATATCGTGTTTGCTCTTTAACGACTATTGTGAAGTGGTCGTCTTCAGAATGGGTTATGGATATTGGCACCAATCGATAAATATATATTGCTAATTATACCCGTGATATTCTTTAATAGGTATACAGTAATATTCTTGCCAACAGCACATTAAGATAATCTTTTTATTTTAAGCATCACCTATCAACAGCACGTTGTCATGATCTATGCAATTTCCAACACTGATCTTAATGGCAAAACACCAGTTTTCCTAAAATCTGTTCAAGTATGTCCTTGTATAATACATTTTTTTATGAAAATAATGTAGAATAAAATTTCAATATTCCTTCTTCAAACACTTGTACGTTTTGCTACCTGTGTAAAAAGTCTCGAGAAATTTTTAAAATGTAAACATTGAGCTCCCACAAATTGTTTGTTGACTCAGTTGGCGTACAGTTACAGTATGAATATAGCGATTTACACATCTACAGGACAGGTGTGTTGCACTGGTAGTTTTATTGCATAACAAATTTAATACCTACCTGTTAATATTTAAATTACCCATACATATATTTATATTAAAATATGAAATATTGGAATTAAAAAATACTAAAAATAATGTCAACTACCTATGTAGTTAGGATATTTGAATATTACTAGTTTAAAATAAGTTAACACTATGTATTTGGTTATTAAGTTATGTAATAACATTGAATTAGAATAAAAATAAATAAAAACAATTATCTTTTTCATTTTAAACATTTTTTTAATAGTATAATAACCATGAGTATAGTTTAGAGAGACCTGTTAACCATGAAAGAAAAAGGAAGATAATCACAGTTAATTCTTGTAGAATTTCTTCAAATAAAATGTTCAACATTTTAAATTACTATCTGTAGGTTAATAATGACATTTGAATTTTGAGAAGTCCATGCAAATAGTATGGCATCTTCCATTATTGACAGTAGTTGAGTACCATAAAGGTACTTTTATTATATATTATGCTGTAGTTAATAATATTATTAAAATAATAGTATCAATACATGGGTATCTGTAGGTATTTAACATTATTAATGTGTATATTATCTTATTGTTTTCGGTGGTATCTTCTTAGCAAAAAAACAAAAACAGATAATTATTAATAAATAGTTTTATCTCTGTTAATATTGCAGTATTGTTTTGTGCTGTAATATAATAATGCATTACTTGCATACCCACTTAAAAAGCTTCTAAATTCAATGAATCATATTTTATCGTTAATAATTTTTTATTGCTGACAACTTGTGCCTGCGGCGTATTATTACAATATTAACATGTTTGATACATAATATTATATTAAGTAGGTATTCAATTAAATTATCCATTGTTATTTTGGAGTTCGTTTTTTTAATAATATCCGTATGTATGTTTAAATAGATAATCAATATTTAATTCTAATTAATAATGTATTTTTTTTGATATAGAATGGCGTGCGTCATTAGTCAAACCACAATGAAAACAATTAATATGGTAAGTGTTTTTCCTTTTTTTTTTTTTTCAAATTTTACATAGATAAGATTATTTCTTTTAGCTATACCTATTATAACAAAAAGTTTAACTCATTTTATCTTCATTAAATATACACACAAAAGTCAGCAACAAATAAAAAAAAAATATAGTAATAATAATAAGCACGTTTTAGTTTGCACAGTTGATCACCAGATAGCGCACTAGTTTACATATTATAATAATTGACAAAATAATAACTACATAGTTACTGCTTTACATTTTGTATTGAGCATAAAACAATAAATTCAGTACGGTGTGAAAAAAATGAAATGTCCTTGTATGACATTTATGATAACGATATTGATTTAGGTAGGTATATATTATAATATATTTATTCATAGAAACACTACCAAATATAAATTAATAATCTATTACAACACCTTTTATTGACTATTTTCAACAAAATATTAAATAGGTAATATTATGTACCTACATAAATTAGTCAAATGTTAGCAGATTATATAATATTTAAATTTTTTTTATTTTGAGGGATTACTTTGCATAATGTTCAGTATTATTCTCAATATATAAAAAAAAAATTGTCCTTTTAAGGAGAATCTCGGTAGATGTTTGATGACGCGAATTTATTTCATGTGTTAGACATCAAACAAAAAGTTCAAACCACCCATTCCATAAACTCATTAATAAAAGCCCCCTCCCCTCAATTAATAAATTTAACTCATCTTGTATCGCCCTAATGCCTTTTTGTAAAAAACATTTTAAGTTTAGGTGAACTCATCGTTCTGTTTCCTATTTTAGTTATCTTAGAACTACCAATGCCACTGCAGCCTACGTTTAAGTTTTTCGTTCGTGAATAAAAACCAACTTTGACTAGATCGGTATTATTAACTTATTGGAAATATGATCAAGTCTATTCCTGAAGAATTATGTGAACCGGTTCTTACACGGTTACACAAATTTTTCATTCCGTTCTCGGGTACGGTATCGATAGCTATTTCGCTTCAAGGACTAATTTAATTACAACAACTATGTTAATTATTGTAATTATTTTGTACATTTTTTCACCCGATCAAATCCAATGAAATAGTAACAAAAATACAAATAAATGATCGCGTTCAACAGATACGGATGTTTTCTCATCAGTCTCATTTGAATCATTTTCTCGGTCACAAGCGCTACACCGGCAACATTGTAATACGCTTTTTAATAATAACCGAAATGTATTAAAAGAAACAGATTATTAAATGCAGCGTGTTCGGAAGAAAAAAGAAAAAAAAACAATAATAATTATTTATTATCTATATTTATTTATTATTATTTATGAATTATTTATTTATCGAGTATTATGGGTA